TCATCTGAAGAACATTTTAGCTCATCAATATTCATAATTTTGTTTGAAGATGGCAATTTTAGTTTTGATAAAAAAATGTCTCCAAGGATCTGAATCAAGTCATCGTAAAAACATGAATTAAATTTCCAGGCAGTATTTAAAAATCTGTTAATAAGCTTTTAAGACAGCCAGATTTGTACTGTTAAGATAGGAAATTCTAATATAGCTTTTCCATGGCTCCAAACCTTCAAACACAAACTACCCTTAACAAAACCATTGTCTATGAAAAACCATGACAGTAATCAATTTAATGTCAAATTTCTGTGGTATTTCTAGAAATTTTATTGTCAAAAATGACATTAATTGGCCATCTTGTTCATTGTTTGACTGATGATCCATACAACTTTTAAGACTCCATACAGAAACTCTTCAACCGTGAGCTTTTCAGACTCCATCTCTGAACTCTTCAATATTTGATTAGTTTTGTTTTTTTTCCTGTAGACTTATAGTGCTGAGAGGAATGACTTTGAATAATTTAAAGTCTTCAAAGTTCCAGATGAGTTAAAACAAGAAAACATAAATTGAGCGAGACTAATTGTACAGAGGATAGGTGTTTTTTAATGACAGAAAATAAAATAAATAACACATAAAGTTAATGTTTTTGACAAAGTAATTTTGTACATGTACTTTTATGATGGAATGCCAATTTAATATACCATAAACATTGTAGAAATAAAGTATTTGTGAATTTTGTGAAATAATAATCAAGATATCGTACTCCATTAGTCCTTACCATACTAAATATTTTCAATGGACTTGTCCATCTTTCATTCTAAATAAAACTATTCATCATTTAGGGAAAATTTAACAAAAATATGAGCAGACCATATAGCTATCAGTGCAAACCATCATAGAATGGCATGTATGTGCTGGCTGATCTTGGTCTGTACTGGCTGCATGGGTGAAATTAGTTAGAGACAGCAGGCTTTATGTTAAAGGCGATTGATAGAAAATGCCTTTAAACAGATGCACCGAAGACCTCCTAGTTGCATGAAAATCTGCTAATTTTGCGAGCCCGAAACACAGACAAATTGCAAGAACACATACTTGTGCAAAAAATGTCAAAAATATCATAATTTGTACTTTAATTATGACACAAGAGAAGCAGAAAATGCTCAGAATGTGACTAAATGTTTATTCTGGCTTTTGAATTCGTAATTTCAAACCTCAGCATTGCCTGGAAAATTGGTGAGAATGTAAATATTAATGAACGACCCAGACAGACTGGTGTGTGTGCGTGTGTGTCTAGTATTCAGGTGCATCTATCCAATTAATGAAAATCCTTAATAAGTTTGTTTGAGTATTTATTAAGAGATGGTAAGGCTGTACCTGTACTCTGTAACAAAAACAAACACTGCCACCTATTATCACATACTATCAGAGATTTGCCTGATACCAGTGTTTACTAATAACAGATTAAGATAATTTTTGTGTTCAGAGAAAGAAGGAAATTTATCTTGCAAGAAAATCACCATGTGCTGCAATACAAGACTTCCCCTCAAACAATTGCAATTAGGGTATGGTTTTATCATCTAATTATGACATGTCAATTGCTTATTCCTAGATCTTAGTTGATATCAGATGCTGATATCTAAAGTTATATATAGCACTGATAAAGGTCACTGTTCAATACTAAAAAAAATACCTACAGAAAAAACACAACCGAAATTTTTTTTTTATTAAATTTAGAAAAAATTTTTTTCCTATTTCTAGTACACCTTCTGACTTCAATGAACAGAATGTTTACCAGTGAAAACAGTGATTAATTTCAGAAATCAACTATACGCACCAATATGTTTTTTTTTTCTCGGAGCGTATTGCACTTCAAGGAAATTTAAGATGAACAGTAAAATAGGAGATAGATTGCGTATGTTTCATATAAGTTTTATAGATATGTTCTCGACTGTCATATATCATTTAGAAACATCTGTGCGTCAATTAGAAATTATTTATAGAAACAAATTTCAAGTAAAATTTACATTGAAGGACAATTTTTCAACTCTACAATAAAATATAATTCAATCGTTCACTCTCGATATAAGTTATGATTTTTTTTCCCCAGTTCAAAGCATATGGAAAGATTCCCGGTGGTTTTCTCTTGGTTTTCTCTAACCAGAAGCTGGCTAATTTGGTTTATCTGTAGTATTTTATTTTGGGTCATCATGCTGGGTGTCTAAATAAGATACCGCGACACATAGAAACGTTTTGGTATCACCTACGGCGTGACTTTACAAAGTCAGTCGTGAAAAGAGAGGCGACATATGAATTACAAACATTCAAATTGAAAAATCTTCGCTAAAATGTTGAACTCGGTGAAATTGAATTTGTCCATTAAATAATATCTTTACATAAACACACTTGAAAACTTGCCTATTTGTGTTCCATGATAATTCAATGGATATTATTGAGTCGGGCAAAATGTAAAACGCTTGCTAGTTTACGAGTGTCATTTATTGAAATCTTCAGAGAAGAAAAAAATATTCAAATAACGCCTGGACTGATTTCTGTCAGTTTTTAATGGAAGTTTTATTAGGTCAGGTTTTTCATTTGCGAAAACCTCCGAAAAATCAAAGAAAGTCAACCGGTTATAATTCTTTTAAAAGGTAGAAAGTAAATAATATGACTGAATAAGCTTTAAGCAAAATACCTTCATTAATTTTTAAATCATTTCAAATTTTGCATTGTTGTGTTGTTAAACATACCGAGATAGAAATCTTGTGCACCTCGTTGACAAAACTTGTCAATTTTAAAAACGCTTTTATCAACGTAAATCTACGAATGCTTTTCTTGAAATTGTCCTTCGTAAGTCAAAATTTTCACTTGTTCACAAATTTATCAGATGCTAACTTTATAAAGGATTTATAAAGTTAACAATGCTGTATGCACACTTAATTAAAGTAAAATGCAATGCACAGTCATCGAGGGCCGAAAGCATAATTTATTCTTAACAAGACATGTGTGTGGGGAGAGAAAAAAAACGCAGAAACAAGAAAAACAAGGTTCGAACAATGTTTCCCATAAAACTTCAAATAATGCTTCTTATGAAAGGTCGCTGTCGTTTGCGAGACATATTATGAATTGTAAATTACCATTTTTGAATTTAAATGACTGTAATATAGGGCTGAATGGTTTGATACAATAGTTCACTAGGGATATATGATGAATATTTTTTGACATATCACTGAATTAATGTCACTGATTATTTAAAGCCTATATCATCAAAATCTTTGACACTTATATAATATAAATTAAGTGGTAATTGATTATGTTGGCTCAACTAACGAAATTGTATAAATGTTATATCAACGCCTTACAATATTCAAAAGTTATTAATGCATAATATAATGTTATTGTTAATGTTATCTTAAAACCATTGAATAACAAACATTAACAATGATTTCATAGCCAATTATCACAATGCAAGCTCGTTACAGTCTTTTTAATAAGAAGTGGATGTGCAAAAAATTATTGTTCTTAGTAAAAAATCCATGTATGTAAATATATTTTTTTATATTGACTTCCAATCAAAACAAGATTTTTATTCTATATGTCAATTTTCTATAAGTCAAAACAAGATTTTTATTCTCTATGAACTGTTATATCGAAGGTTCCTTTAATAGGATTAAAAAGTACCATCATATACTATAAATTCATACTAAAAATCTACATGTATGTCGGAAATCAGAAAATAAAATTTCAAATTAAAAAAATAAGTTCAAACGAAAAAAATTTATTTGAAAAATGACTATTGTATTACAGTACATCTGTACAAACATACATTTCAGAATAATGCATTAAAGACAAATATGCACCTCCGTGTATAAATATTTACAGAGCAGAATGACATAAGATTTAATCTCATAAACTAACAGTCCAGTTCAAACAATCGACTAAATAATGTATTCATTTTATTGTATTTTGAACACTGCGTCCTCTTCAATTTTATAACGGCCTGTCTATCTAATTAAGTAAATAAAGTTATCTCCAGGTTTTGCGCATATTTTGAATTTTTAACAAATGAGTTAAATTGAAGCGATATATACACTGCTGACGTGTTGAGGTGTTTTACGTTTATAGACTTAATGTCAACACTCAGAATTTTGTCGATATTTTATTTAAAAGTTATTTTCTTTCTTTTTTCAAATTTCAGTATAACTAGATATTTATTCAATGATCTTTTTTTCTCCCTAGAAATTGTAATAAATGTATAATCATTAAAACTACATTAAACGTTGCTGCAAAATATTCGCAGCAATTAATGTAAGGTGATTTATTTCAAATAACTGATTCTAAATGAGAAAATAACGGTGCGTTTTAATCAAGCATTTCACATTTATTTCTTTTTCCTTTAATTTCATTACGACATTAACAAGTTATACATGTATCATGCAAATTACTGGTAACTTTTTTAACTATTTCTAACTACATGTATATTAAATTCCCAGAACTTTTGTCATTAATTACCAATTTATCTTCAATTATGATAATCAATTATCGATCGCCAAGATTAATAAAATGTTAAACATAAGAATATGAAAATATACAATATGTATATAATATAATATACATATATTATCTAATTATTCCTTTATATAAGTAATCAGTTATGTTTTTCACAGTTGTAAATTAGAATCTTATTAAATTAACTTTAACAAATAAACTGAATAGCTAAAAAGTAATTAAGACATTACACTACAATAATACTTAATAATTATTTCTTCATGTATTTTAAATAAATATTCTCACTATTCAATTTGGATTCAACAACATTTTTTAACAACAACATTTATTTAGCAATTACATAACACTGCTTTTAGCCATAAGATTGACATAAAGTGAACATTGAAAAATTTTGATTCAAGAATTTAAACTGGGGTTATTCTTGTTATTATTGTGACAAACAGAAGCGATGTAAACAAAACTTAAGATACATAGGTTAATGAAGATTGAACAATACTTACATAGGGTTTGACTTATTCCACATTACATGCATTTTTTGCCCAGTTTCCACGACGCTAATCACCATCCCCATACAAAAGGGTAATATCCAAAACAGTTGAAAAGCTAGCTGCATGATCCGTGACAATTTTGGGTTAAAAACTCCCAAACACATTATTTCTTAACACTCACAAATTTGAGTGACCCTGTTTATACAAATCAATCGCATTGTAAAAATGTCTCTTCTTAAAATCTTTTAAGAAAATCACATTTTTTTTTTTTGATTTATTTAAATTAAAACTCTGTTGTTGTTGTTTTTTTTTAATCCAATAATTTATGCTGACAATGAAAACGAAACACAAAAATGTAAAAAACCGAACAACAAAAAAATCAAAACCTTCCACTAAATATGATATGAAATGTACACACACTCTACTATCGTTTAACTGAATGGCTCACTCACTACGATACATTGAGATTCGAATGAATGAGCAGTGAACCTCTCTATACATAGCACACATCAACGAGACCATGTGACTTCTATACTTCTATAAACTATAGAGGAGCCCTAAGGGGAATTAACACTTAACCTATTGTGTGATCGAATAGTGATGAATTACTTTTACAAAATGCGGCTAGCCAATACAATGGCCTAATCATAATTACAGAAAGATTTAAGACAGTTAAATGCATTAATACTAAAGACTTTTACAGTTATTTATTTGTTAGATATTTATCAGCTCAGGTAAGATGTAACATAGATAATAATTATTTATCCGCTAAAATTCCTTGCATGATTAATAATTATCACCTATTGTACTGAAATATTATCAAAAAAAAGAAATTAACTATGATTAAAGACATTTTAATCATTCTTTAACATTGAATACAGGAAAACAATTAAAGGTGCAAGACTTTATTCCCAGTAATTCATTAATGATCATGGAATTTCATATTGATTTAAGGGGAATGACTAACAATGGTTTAAGATTTAACTAAAATACATGTTTAATGGAATGTAATGACATCTTAATGTAATATGATTATTTTAAATCAGGAAACAATTATCATCTAATTATTTCTTCTTCTAAATTTAATATATCTCTGATTGTTATAGCATGTTTTGATATTAATAGTATCAAAATATTAGCTTTAATTGTGCTAATGTCTTCAACAAAATGATTACCATATTAGGATTAGGACTTAATTGTTTAAGTGTACACAAATATTAACTTATAATACTGATAATTGATTATTATTATACATGTTTGTATAGAATAGGAGTCATGTGTTGGCTCATTTCTAAAATTAATATAGTATATGATCTATTCTGATCGATAATAAATTATCTGTTTGTTTTTTTTCTGGAATTTTAGGCAGGACATAAAATTCTTCAAGTAAATGAGTTATACACAAAATTTGTTTATGATTCAAGAAATATTTACTAATATGACATACCAAAAAAGATAAGGTTTTCACACTTATTCAAAATTCATTTGAACTATCATGTTTTTATAAATATAATATAATATTTTAAGTATGTATTGTCCTACAATTTCTGGATATAGAGAAGACAACTGAGTTCGATGCAGTTGTTGGTGGGATTTCTCAATTGTTGGTGAAACAGAAAACCAACCACTGTGAAAGAGTCTTTGAAAAAACACTTGTTTGTAAGTCAATATTCAAATATGTCAAATAATCCAAAAACCTAAAAAAAATAATGAAAAACTCAAAATCAAATAAATAAAATCAAGGATGAAAATAATGAAGTTTGAACATTACATGTATATTAATATACATGTATATAGCATGTATAAATAAGAGGAAAAGGGCAGAAGAACAGTTATGGTATTTCTGGTATGTTAAAACGTGAGGAGTCTGTCTTATCTAGTCGTTCTGATATCAAAGGTGAAAATAGGCCAACTTTGCCAATATATTTCCCATTTACTATTATAAATTTTGTGGAAAGCCCTGATTAAACATGCTGGCCCTGATAACCCATGATTAATTATTGCATAATTAATCAGAAAAGATACAACATGGAGATTACATGAGGACATTTATCCGTAAATCTTTCAAACAAGGGCAAAATGCTGTTGAACATCAACGACTATCTTGTCACACTGACAAAAACCTCAGGGATCTGTACAAAGATTAAGGTACTGACTAATCTACTGATATGTATGATAAATTATAGGAGCAGTCCATAAAGAACAATAAAACCAGTGTGGACCAATAAAGACAGAAAAGCCAGTTCAAAGAACCATCGGTCCATTTCTTTGGAGCAGTGAGTGTAGTGTGCCATGCCGTGAAGCCAGTGTGAGGAGCAGGAAACAAGTCAGTGGAACAGTAAACTGTAGAACATACAGTAAGCGGCAAAAAAAAAAGAGCTGTACAACAGATCCATTCTTTGGAGCAGTAAATCCAGTTTATTGAGCAGTTACTGAAACCAGTGTGTGGAGCAGTGAAAACAGCGTGGTGAGCAGTGAAACCAGCCAAGTGAGCAGTGGAGCAAGTGTGAGGAGCAGTGAAACCAACCTGTACCACAGTCAATAGGAAAGAGAAACAGTTTAACCAGCCTCTATAATACAGTGAAACCAATCATTTATTACCCAGTTAACAGTACAGCAGAACCAGACTAAAGTACAGTGAAACCTATGAGTCACAGACAAATCTAAATCAGTCTCTAGTACAGTGAAACCAGTCATATATACAGTTAATAAAGTCAATGGTACAGTAGAACTAGACTCAAGTACAGTAAAACCCATGAGTCACAGACAAAGATCAATCAGTCTCTGGTACAGTGAAACCAGTCTCTAGTACATTGCCACCAGTAGGGTTACCTCAAGAATCTGAAGAATTATAAGATATACTAGTTAAAAAGGAGATAAGGCAAGTAGTGCCTGACGAGTCAACCAAAGCAGACTATCAACAAGCCAGTTACATATTTAAGTCTATAAACAAACAAAAAATTATGCACATTTCTGTTCTGCAAAATCTTTCCTCACGGTCTTCAAGTACAGTTCAACCCTACAACATAAATCTTGTTGAATTCCTGAGATAAAAAAACCCAAAGATAACATATAGGAAAATGATGATGATGCAAGGCACAGGTGGGTTATATCATAGGACCAATATTATCTCCCTTAATGAAAGTCACAACATAAAAATGGTTACTTGATATCAGTTTTTATAGCACTTTTATTAACATTATCAAACCAAATTTCAGCATAATCTAGCAATATGTCACCGGCATGAAGATGGTCCTAGACTGATGTACAGCAGACGGGGACATTCCGCCTCATTTTATCTACAACCTGACTTGTTTATGTGTCATTTATACCTTTTACATATTCAGGACATACATTATTTATTCATGAACAATTAAATCTCTAAAATGCATTCTTTTTACAATTTTCCTGGAAGTCCTCATTTTCATGTCGTTTTTTTTCCCCAACTATTATCTGAATCAAAAAGCATTAAATCTTAAAAACGACCCCAAAAAAATTGTCTTCTATAACATCATTAACAATTTCAAACATCAGCTCAAGCATTTCTATCTAATATTTTCCCTTGCCTACTTAGACATTCAGGAACGTCTGGATAAAGAAACAGAACGCCCATTATACGAGGGCAGGAATCAAAACGCTTACTTTGCACAACATGCATTTTCCGAGGAGAAGACTGTTACAGTTAAACAAGAAACGCTCAAATTTGTATAACAATCTTCAGACTTAAACAACAGTGTCATTAAAACAATGTTAAAGAAAAGGTTATTACTCATCCAGAAATTCTATCCAATTAAATGATACATTTCAAACTATCTCTGAACAATTTGTAAGTATAACAATATCATTAAAAGAGAATATTGACATTTTCTTCGTCTTTTATCATTATTTAGCACATCATTCACAAACAATGACTACAAATTCAAGACACAATTAAACTGTGTTTTATTGCGATGCAACCTTCCACCCGACTTTTGAAACATGAGCATACGCTCATTATGGATTTAATATAACCGTTGATGATAGTGTAACGTGCAATTATGACCGATGGAAACACCTGCCGATAGATACCTGACACCAATATGTATCTTACCAGTGTGACTCCAATAGTCACATCTTTGATTCATAGTAAAACATTTGAAAAGAAGAAAGATAGTTACCAAGCTTCAAACTTCATGAATAAAACATGAATATAAAGATTGGCGAATCATATCCTACATCTTTCACAATCACTGCTGCAACTGCCACACTTTGATGCACATAAATAAGTATTTCGTAGATTTGAGGAGTCATACCTCTCAGACATGTGGTTTCTATAGTAACTAAGAATTGTTAAACTTTGACCTTTACTCTTCTGGACCTTAAAGTCATGAAACTTTTGCCATGTAGTCTTCAGGTTCTTAACCATTTAGGATGAAGAAACTTAAAATCATCATTTTGACATCACCAAAATTGGTAATAGAAAGTTTCCAAAAATAGAAGCTGGACTAGTTTATTTAAGAAATTCAGCAAGTTATGGGTGTAATATAGTTGATGGCATATGGTGTCTTCTCTAATTTCCTTATCTGGATCTGGACCTTTAGTTGCAAACATGTCAATATGTTTTTCTGGCATTTTATTGCTAGAGCCATTGTTGTACTCAGCACCCCTACCCAAAAACCCTCAGGATGGGATAATAAAAAAAGTTATGTGATATCCAAGTGAAGGTCATTGTACTTCTTTTTATCAATTATTTTATAATTAGTTGTCCTTATTAATTATACAGCATAATTCAACACCATAGTTCTTCTAATAAAGGTTAATATGCAGATTAATTTCTGAACAATATCCTGATCATAATGTGTCTTAATGAGTTTGTGTGTGACCATATTGCACAGCATCATATTTTAGTGATCCCCTAAACAAAACTTTCAGTAATATAAGCCACAGTGTTAGCTTTCAAGTCGTAGTCAGCAGTATGTAGGTAACATTTTATGTGCTGTTTCAAGCACTAAAATAACCATGTAGCACACATTGGCATATGACATGCTAACCAGTAATACTAAAATACAGACATGTAAAATAGTCCTTTAATGCTAAGATCAGCCCTCACTCCGAGAACTGCAGATACTGAAAGGTAATATAAGAACATTGTCCCCACTGGTCTGTTTTTTGAATGAAAGACATTATTTACATGTTTTACACTAAATCAATGTTCGCAAACAGTTTTTATGACTTTCGCGCTTTTAAAAACTGGAGTTTATTAAAAGGTGACTGATGCGAGAACCTGTATTTATGATTTCGTGACCTGGACGATGGCTATTCTTTGCGATGGAAATATAAACTCGCGCAGCAATAAAAACAAGAAAACACAATGGCGATCTATCAGTAAATCTTTCATCAAAACTTTTAACAACTGCTAATGATTTATATATTCATGGGCATTTCAAACATGACAAAAAGAACGATTCATTTAAACTGGAAAACAATTAAA